CATCAAAATGATTCGTCTATCGACTTCGCCAATTAAATCGTTCGCAAACGGAAACGAGACTCATTGTAAAAAGGCTCGTGTCTTTCAAACGTAATGTATCAAATTATTGAATCTCCTGTCACTTTATTGAATATTCCGTCTGCTATTTTAATGCTATTAAGTCCTATTTTAATACAGACAGAGCTATTGGATCATTTTTCATTAAATCTTTCACTTAAAAGATTAAACGCTATCATAAAGTTCATTGACTCGCATCTCGATGCAATTTATAAAGATTTTCCACCGGAGAATCTCGTTGATTGTTCGTCCGCGTAAAAGTAAACTTTATTCAATTATCCGCGCAAGAAACGTACACGTAAAGACGTTCTCGTTTCTCTCTCTCTCTCCCCTTGGAATTAGATCCAATCGAGAGAACGAACGGATAAATAGGCTATTTCAATAAATGCGCATGCATGCGAGCCTCGGTTGCTGGCGAGGAAAAGCGGAGCATCGGATTCTGCGGAAATAAATTGACGAATAAAAAATCGTTATTGACGTGAATGAATTACGTGAGAGAAATCAGAAACGAAGAGTTATCATTTAAAATTTAACTTTTATTTCGGTACGTGGATTAACGTACGATAATAATACACGAAGTTTTATAAAAATACGAACATTGCACTTGAAAGAAAAGATTGGCTGAATATGGCATAGCACTTTGCAGCGTCCAATTAAAAATATTGCTACGTCATAATTTCACCATCTAATTCGCAGCAGCGGCCAATCTTTTCTTTCGGTGTAATGTTCGTACAAACTAAATGAAATGAATAATGGTATCACGAGAATGAGGACGTTACGGTTCAATACTTTCGCTTTCAAGCCAGATTTGTACGTCCACGTTTGTCTCAACTATCTTATCGCACATTTCAGTTCTCAGGATAACTTCCACGACTGATGTTTGTACTTACAGATACTTTTCGGTAAACCAGATAACACTTTCGTTCGTTCTCCCCTCCCGGGACTCCAGTCTTTTTCCAACTCTTTAATCCAAATTTTTGATACAACGACACGCAGCGACATGCGCGTACGCGCCGGTGTTCTCGCGCTCTGATGTGCGTGTATGTGATTTGCACGTATCCGCGCGCTCCATACACGCGTCGCGCACGCATTTGGGATCCGCTGGTCAATTTGCGGCAATTACCGAGCTGTTGCGACCGGTTAAAGTCACTTAGTGCTCGCGTAGATACGTGCACACGACGAAATCATCCGCGACGAATCTCGTCCCGGCGCGGCGGCGACGCAACGAATCCGGCGACCGCCGAAAGGCACACACGGAGAATTCGCGTAAAATCGCGTACACGTGCTCGCGTCGCACGTGCGAATCAGTGGAGGTCCCTCGAAGGTTTCCTCGCCTCGTCGGGAATAAAATGTCAGATCAGTGCGGATAGAAGGTGAGTGTAAAGGGTTGCTTTCGTGGTGCGGCGCAGCCTCGCAGGTTTTCTTGTAATTTGAATATTTTAATAAGATGAAAGAGAGAGAGAGAGAGAGAGAACGTAACGTAATTTAATTAGCAATTTGAATTCCTTATGTTAAACATATTTATTTAATTAACATACGAAAAGCGCGTGCATAATTTCATACTTTTAAGAGTCGTGTGAAGTTCTTCAATTTTCTAGTTATATAACTTTATATTTAGAGACTCCCTTGAGGAATTTAAAATTAGAAGATGGTAGGCGGATATGCTTCTTTCTATTAACTACGCTGAAAAAGAAAGTATTAAATTTTAATAAGTACTTGCTTGAGTAATTCTAAGTAAACGTTTACTAAATGTAGACATATACTTATTTGATCATTAATTTGTTGTAGCTATCATTTTTTGTCGAGTAAATATCTGTTTTCTACAAGCAAATGTGTTTCCTTACTATTCAAAGAAATACGTGTGTATTAAGATTTAGTAAATTTTTTTCAGTACAACTTCATTTCTTATCTCAGTTCTATTAAGCATAAATATTAACCGATAAGATGCACATATATAATTCTGTTACGTTTGATTGCGTAAAGTAATGTGTGAAATATAACTATAGCTATTGTACATCATCAGAAAAAAAATCGTTCGCTCAAGCTGAAAATATTCAAAGCTCGCGATGGCCGAAAGGATTAAATCGTGTACGATATTAGACAAGATACATTATGCATTTATGTATATATATATATTTATATATTTATATCCGGGTTATCTTCAGGGTTAAGACCGGGTTAACTTTAACTGTGCTTCGTGTGATCGAAGAAAAATGCAAACGTAATCATAACCTACGTAAACAAGCTTACGTGACCTATTATACCGAACACGCGGCATTGAACGATTAACTGTCTATTCTTTCGTTTTTTCGTCTGCAAAATCGAATCTTTTAAAGAGTGAAAATTGAGGGTCGGAAAATTGCATTTCATTGTCTGCGAACTGTATAATTTTTCAACATCGTATACGAGTGTTAAAATAAGATCGATTCTTAATTAAATTTTTAAGTAAATTTTTATTTTACTTGATTCCCCTCGCTACTGTTTTCTTACACGAGAAAGTTTTCTTTTATTAAAACTTGCCAAGGTCGTCGGTTTTTTTGTTTATTTTATTCCATATTTCCCTGCCGTTTTCTCGCACGTTGAGTATTCTACTTTAATTCCGTTTTGAAAAGTTAAGAATAGATATTTTATAAAAAGATCGTGTATGTTGGTGAATCACAACGATGTTGACGGCAACAACAATATTCACGTACATGGAACGGCATGTAACACACTACTGTGACGTAAGAGATGGCTTATAGTCGATAACGCTTTATGGTTTAAGAATTACCACCGGTTTCTTTACCTCGAGATACGTATCTTGTCAGTTGTTGAGCCAAAAGATACTCGTCAACAGGAAAATTTTTTAATTCGCGAAACTTCGGAAATTCCAAGGCAATCAAGACCGTTGTCTTTCAAAATATTCTGTAGACCGCGACGCGATTTTTTTCGTTCAACATATTTGTGGTGGATCTATCAGTTGCGAGGTAACGCGTTTCCATTCGCGTTCGTTCTAAGAGCGTGAAAAATCATCGCGGCAAAGTGCGACGCGCGGAAAAAGACGTCGATTGGCAGTCACGAGCCACCGGTTACATAAGCGCGTTCTCGTGATTATAGCGAGCCTTCTGCCTCGTGCTGAAGGAGAAAGAGAGAGAGAGAGAGAGAGAGAGATGTGATCGTTTCACGACAGTCGAATGGATGGAAGGAGAGAGAGAAAGAGAGATAGAGTGCACGAGGGCAACGACGCGTCGTCGTCAGAGAGCACGAAAGTCCGAATGGATGCTGAATGATCCGGGATGGCGAGAGTGGTGAGATAGTAATGTGCGTGCAGCGCATGGTGCGTGTCGCGCAATCGGTTTACGCGTGGATCTGCAACCGAGAGGCAGTAGGAGGAAGGTACGAAATTATTTGGAAGTGATAGATATCGAATAGTACATCGTAATAGTACATTGTAAATATACATATTACGTTTGTACGATTGAGAACGGAAAAGTTTAGAAAAGTGATATAAGTCGAATGGAAAATTCCAAATATTCTTCGAAATCCTGTAGTGTAATAATTTGTATTAAAAAAAAAAAAAAAAACAATTACTGCAATTTGCGAGTTTGTGGACTTCTACTTATTTAAAATTTATTTTGAAAGATACATGATTTTTTTCAAACGCTCCAAATAGAATTCTTGTTTTTTAATTTCTATTTTTCTGTTTTTCTCTTAAGTGTAGATACATTTGTGTTACTTCACACAAATCGAAATAATATTTTAGATAAAGAATTAGGTTAGCGTTGAACGAAGTATAATAGCTGCAGGATATTTTTATCGACAATCGGAAAGATATCTTTGAATAACTTCTTGAGTAAATTTCTGAAAGAAATCAAAATTATTCGTTATTTTAAATTACAGCTATAACTAATGTTACAGTTGTAATTTAAAATAATAAATATCGTGGCTCGTTGATGTTAAAATCAGTAATTATTACATTTATTATTAAGTAGTGTGACAATTTTTAGTTTTTATTTTTTAAGATAAAATTATTAAACAAGAATTCTATTGTTCAATTACTGGAAGGTGATAATAATTATTAACAATAAAAAGATAACTATTAAATTCTCAGAAATCCATTGAAATTAACACATTATGCTATCACGTCTGTTTACATATTATCATTAGGGAAACAATAAGCGTTAAAATATAATGAGTATTTGAACGTAATGAGTATTTATGGGGATCAGTTTTTTCGTTCGTCGCCTCCGAAAGATTTTTCGCAGCCTAATCGCTGTACCCGTTTTAAACTTCCGGTGTTGTATTTGCCTAATTGACAGCTGCCTGTACGAGTATATCCCCAGATGTCTGACAGTAGCGAATGATTTCGTGAATGTACACGTGCTTACATATGGAACATTTCGTGATAGACTATATAACAGCAAATTTCGTGCATGCGTGATTTCGCGATTGATAAATATCGAGTACGTCTGCGTATCGCTTGCTATGTGTCGTAACACGGTATCGTACGACTGTCACTCGTTTGATAAGAACATCAACCATGCGCGTTGATCGTTGAAGGGAATTATTACGAGAGAATTTAATTACGACAATTTATTTCCATGTATATCGAATAACAACGATAGGAATAATGAGATGAACATTTCTCAACCTGCACTTATTTCGTCGTTGGAGTCAAGTCCTTAACTTCCACGAGGAAGGAAGAAAAGAACTCGTTTTCTAATTCATCGTATAATTACTGAGAAAAAGTTAATATGTAAATTATCAAGGAATTTAAAAATCCGATTGAAATTAGAAATAAAAATTCTCATTGAAATTAAGCTTCGCGACATCGGTAACATCTTATTATTCCTTCTTGGCGTCCGTTGATCCTTTTCGATCTTCCTAGCCAAGTTTTGGATTAACGAGTCCCAGGATACATGGACACGTTATCCACGTCGGCGGTTCGTGATTTTTGCTTACAGTGGGATCGAGCACGAGGATGAGGTATACAGCGTGCGCCAGCTGGCCGCGCGTGATAACGACGCCAATTTGGTGAAGATAGAGAAACCGTTGCCGGTCTTGGTGCCGACCGGTAGTAGCGCTGTATTGACGACGGATTCGAGCCAGGTATCGCTGAACGACGAGGAGAAGATTCCCGTGGAGGAATCGACCGTCGACGACGAGTCCAGGAGCGACGATCGACCGTTCGCCGTCACCGCGTCGATCTTCCGTTCAATCGACGAAAAGGGCGGCTGCAAAGACGATTCGCAGAAGGACGGTGCCTTGCCGAAACACGCCCGGAAAGAAAAGGCATTCGTTTTCCTCGAGAAGGCCCTCAAAGAGTCTCTCGAGGAGTCGATTAAGGAGAACGACGTGCCGGCAACGGTGAACCGACAGTCCTTCGCTAAGAAAACGCCCTTTATATTACAGGTACGGTTGATCCTTCCGATGCACCAGCGGTTTGATTTTGGAATTTTGAAGATTTCTACTAAAAGGCATGAAATTAGAAGAGAATTACTAGGAATTCTATCTCCGTTTTGCAAGTTTAATCAGTGTAACTGTTATTATTTTATTATATAATAGTCGTTATTTTTAATAAGATATTTGAAATAATATGGATGATTTTCAAATCTTTCTCATCTCTAATTGTTAATCTTATTGTTTATTGAAAATGTCGGGTCAGTATCGCTTATCACAATACGTTAATCGCATTGCTTACACGTTTCGTTATCATTTTAGGATGATAAAGTAAAAATAAATGGTATTTTTATCTCTCTTTCTCATTTGAAGGAGATATCTCATATTTTGAAAATGATTAATGTTAAACGATTAGCGTAATGGAAATGTCTCATACTTGTATGGGTCTTTATAGAAAAATTACAAATTCAAATAAGGACATGATTAAATTTCAAAAAGTCTTAATTTTAAACCTTTTACGCCTCTCTCGTACACTCATCTTGAAGTAAATTTCATAAATTTTATATAAGAAGTACAAAAGTTTTTAATAGTGTGAAAATAATTGAAGTAAACATTAATAAGCGATGATAATTAATCAAAATTTTTCAAAAGCGGATATTTTTATGTAAGAATTTAGATTGTAATCTCCATGTATCTGTTATTGTAAATCCAAATCCCAGTTGAAAGTACTACTTGATTTTTATAGCAAGTGCCGAGTGTAGCAAGCTAACTGTTCTTTTATATCGATATATAATCTTTGGCCTCTTTCCCTCTAGATGAATCATGCGATTTTTGTTTCAGGATAAACCGACGGTGGTGAACGATTCATCAGACAGTGCTGAACACCTTGACCGTCCGCAGTCAGTCACGAGACATCTGTTCGCACCGCTCGCGACCGCCGTGCAACAACAGGAACAACAGCAACAACAGGAACAGGAACAGTCACAATTATCCTGTCGTCCGCAAACGGCCACAGCGAGCATTTTCGCGCCTCGTACCGAGGATATGAATAAAGGCTTTTTGACTTTCAGCGAGGATCAGCCGGGTCTCACCAGTGCGTATTTCCTTCTGCGAAAAAGAAAAGTCGAGTCTTTTCCAAAGCGAAAGCCAGAAAGGAGTCGCTGACCCTCATCCGTATTGTCGACTTTTCGCGAGAAAAAAGAGACTCGAGGGACAAAGATAAGAAATGATATTATGACATACGAGCTGAGAATTATTTATCTTTCTCTAACAGAGCATATTTTCGTGATCCGCAGAAATTTTGTCTGAAGAAAGATATATGTAAGAAATATGTAATAATTGTCATCTGATTTTCTACATTCTCATTTTTAATCCAATTACATCAGATTTAATTTCGTTACTCAGAATAAAAGTTAAGACTCAAATGATTTTCTTAACGGAACTACTAATTTGGGATTCCTTTCTTTTTTTTGTATCGGAGGTTTTCAATTTTTCTCGTGATATTATATGAAAATTTCGTTTTTACCCTCCTCTCTGGTCGATGTTTAATCATCTGAAGTCATAAGTAATCAATTAGAAAGAAGATCATCATGATAAATCACGTTTTCTCCGTTTCGTAGTGTTGAAAGACGAGCCGGAAGACTTGACACATCTCGCACCTACGGCCGGTGACGTGTGCGTACCTTTGGAGGACACTCCCTTCTTGTCAGATATGCTGGATGAGTTTATCTTCGGCAACGACAACTATGGCTGTCCTCTATTGAGCCCGGGAGACACTCTGACACCGGAGTTACGTTCCGCAGATCTCTCGGGATCCCTCAAAGATGCAGATCTCGTGGACACTACTACTAGAGCCAAGAATGCGGTCGATCGTTTAGCCGATAGTGATCCCTTCATGTACGGCGACTCGCCCGGAAGTCCCTGTGGCATCGATCCGAGTACTGTGTCGCCGTCCCTCTCGAAGTACCGACAAGTGAGCGACAAAACATTATTTACATTTCAAAATTTTCTTCTCTCAAAAACATAATATTAACGCACGTATCGACGCGTGTATTAATATAATTATCGTTTTAGAGTCCTGAGCGCAGCGTGGACTCATTAGGTAGTCCTACAGGAGGTAGCGGCGGCGATGGACTCTCCGAAGATGAGATGCTTATGTTAGGTATCAGCGATAGTATAGGGGATGAAGAATTAGCGCTCAGAGCACCCTATATTCCGATGTCGGACCAGGACGAGGCGTTAGAGTTCCTCATTAATGATAACATGGTAATGTGGAGCTCGTCGCAATCTGCTGACAAAGGATCCTCGAAATGGTGAGTGCCACATTGGATCTAATCAATGTTGATGATATGAAAATTTGCGCTATAATAACAATTACAAACCATGATTATGAAATAAATAATTATACAAAATTAAAATGTAGTAAAAGCGTGAGAAACAAAAATAAAAATATAGTAATATTTTTTTTTCCTATGCATTTCTTTGCCCTCTGTTTTTATTTTACTCTGTATTTATTTTCTGGTAGGTTACTCGACGATCGAGAGCAACGTAATTCCGAATCCAGTCTGGCACAATTACTACGAACTGATCAAGCAGTATCGCGGCGATACAATGATCACGGCGGAGGTTTGCTAAATTCAACGCAGATATTGGGACAAACACCTAGAAAAAGTAAGCGTGTGTTTTTTCTTCTCGCCCGTTATTTTATCTATTATACTAATTTTATTTTTTTTTTAACATTTGCAGATATGAAATTATGTCGATAATGTATTATTAACTTCAACAATTGAATGCAAATATTGTGTGTGTGTACAATAGTAAATTTATATGATATAATTAACACACATCTTATTTTGATCTTGCAGACATGCTTTTCGAATCCGATCGATGGTCCTCTAATCAGGAACGTCCCAATAAACGCATTCACTCCGGACTTAATACGGACTCTGAAAACGAATATAAGCGTCTTAAGTGCGAGAACTCGTCATTTGAGCGTATAAATCTTGAAGATACTTTGGTGACGAAGCAACAGCGGCAGTCGACAACGCTTCACAAGAAGTCACCGCCGACTCTCGGTAACACCTGTGGCAGCCAGCTTCTGCGTCGCCTCGTCTCGTCACAGATGCCAAGTATCGTATCACAGGTGGCAACTTTGCCTGACAGTAACGGCCATATTCGCAGTGATAACGAACGTCATCGCGAGGACTTTTCGAAGCAGCGTGATAGCGACCTTGATGATATCATCGATTTTGTTGAATCGGAAGGTGATCGCGGTGGGGGAGGAGGCGGAGGCGAAAATCACGGCGGTATCGGTGATGGCCTAGACAAGATCGATGCAACAAGTCGGAGAAGGAATCCTTCCTGCGCCACTGGCGGCAGCAGTGTGCTAATGAATCTCCTGGTTTCCGGCTGCGACGTGAGTGCGGGATATGTTTGCTTCGTGAAGCCAACGACGAAGGGCATCGGGAACTCGTGAGGACGCTTCCGGGAGGAAGCAAGCGTCCGAAGACCTGCCTCCTTTTGGCCTCCGTCTCGTTGTTGTTGATTTTTCTAAAACAGAAATTTGCAAGCAACACGAAATGAAAAGTTCATCGATTATCACGCGGTTGATTTTTGCCAGATTGAGATTATAGATGGAGAGGATGAGCTAAAGGAGGCGGTATAAATGCTAGTTTCTGTGGTATTCGATCGCGATTTCAAGCCGATAGAAGGTCTTCCTACTTTTTATACGTTCGCTTGTTCCTCGAGTTTGCATCCGCAAACTCGAAGATCGCGTCTGAGGTTTCAAAATAGAAAAAGGGAGAGTGTAAAGTTGCGTCTCCACAGAAAGAGATGCAAAGTGAGTCCGTTGCGAATTGCGAATCGAAGAGAAGAAGTCATAGATAAGCGAGGTAGTTTCGCTTAGTCGTTTAATCCTGAAATGCACTGAGTGCAATGTTTTTATTTTACAATATAAAGAGTATAGTATAGTTTATAGACGACTAATGCTTTTGCTCGTATTGAATATAATGAGGAAGGAAAAAAGAAATTTACGAGTTTTATTATAACATTTCTAGAATTGTATGCGTGGTTAGATAATTATATAAGCAGCATCGCTTTGGAGTGCATCCTAGGATTAAACGAGCTATACTTTAGAGTCATGTTATGTACACAAATTGCAAAGTATATGGAATTGTTGATTGAATGTTATGGAAATACATGGAACATCGAATCACCTGATCAGCTGCGTTTCGTTTCCTCCCACTTTCGTCCTTTTCCGTCCACTGCCGTTCTACGATTCACAATTTTATCATCAAATCTGTCGCTAAGACTCATCTTCGGATAGACGTTCAATATAATAATTAAAATAATTTTATTTTATCAAACTATCATTAGTAATTGAAAGTTTAAAATTCGAATTTCCTTTATGAAAAATTAATATGTTAAATACAAAAATGGTATAAATTTTTCTATATATTTTCATTATTTTTGGAAATTTATCTACGTTTTAGATAGTAATTTTAATAAACTCTTTAATTTGCGCATATATTTATTATTTTGGTTTCAAATTATAAAGTAATGTTAAAATAAATTTAAAAAATGTAAAACTAGACAGATGTCAATTATTGGATAATAATGGATTATCGGATACATGATCGGTCATCAAATTCTTTAGTTATCTGATAAGAATTATGATCACGAGATGGTTATCGTCTTTACAATCTGCATAAGGCTTACCTTCGTCTAGATCACGCGACACGATAGTCACAGTCGCTTTACTCAGTAATCGTTCATTTACATTTATGAAACGTCTCTGGAGTCACGCGAACGACGAGGAATGGGGCTCTTGAAGAACATCGAGGGCGCTAAAAAGCGGTTTATCGCTTAACGTGTCACTATCAGCATAATCTTTCTACTCTATCCTTTTGTCTTTTCTGTGAAACGCAGCAATGTTTTATTTGTTTTAAGTTTTTCAAGCCAATAAAAACAAACTCATTTGTCAGGTAGTTAAGCTCTTACTTAATAAATAAAAAAATTAAATTCTTGTTATGAAAAATTGGAAAATATAAATTGTAGATATTTATATATGATGATAAAAACCAATAGAAAATTAATGAATTTTTTGTTATTTTAAATAGGATTATATATCATTGCAACAATTCTATATACTTTGACATTTTAAATACTTAAAACGAGAAATCTTCGTAATAATCAAATTTTAAATTAGATAAATAAATTCTCTTCGAATAAATTAGAAATTTAATTTGTGCTTAATTGTCAAAAATACTATAAATTATTATAAATTATCAACTCATTCTCATATTTTTTAAACACAACTCAACACGTAAAAGTAGTAAAATCAAATGACAGTAATTTTATTTTTTAGGATCCTTTGATGAGTTCTTGTGATATGTCAACTGTGTTATCAAGTAACCTGACTCCGTTATCCATCAATGTGGATAATCAGGTAGTTCCACACTGTACGAACACAGATGTCATATCTTTGCCCGATCATCTCAGTCCGGACACCAGGAAGCATTTAATCGGGCCCTTTACCAGCGGTAGCGGAGACAGAGGTACTCCTATAGTCTCGCCCACGACGTCCGCGATGGCATCTTTCGATAGCTTTGACTGGATCCGCGATGGATCCACGGGCCTGCTTCAAGTGGGATCAGATCTACTCGGGGGACTGCTGGATCGAAATCTAGTGTGATCCAGTGCGATGGGATTTACGCAGACCTGCCAAAAAATCGATCAGAGAAATTAGAAGCTGGATTTGTTCAATATTCGCTTTTTCGTAACAAGTCTCAGAAATTTTTTTTCTTTTTCACTCTTTTTTGTAACACGATCCGAGTTGTTACTTATTGTAATCAAATTATAATTAAATTATTATTTTTAATTTGTTCAACGTCACTCGATTTCAGAGTTTGTGCAATATACTAAATAAAGAGCGGAAAAAAGAATTACAGTGCAATCGAAACGTTACGCACAAAGAGATTTTATACGAATCTTGCTTCTAATTTCTGCGTGTAAATAGTCGGTTAATTCCCGGTGCTTTTTAATAATTCGCTAAGCATTCGAAAATCTCAGAAATGCGATAAATGCAGTACAGTTTATATTAAATGTTCAAAAGAACATTCGATTAATATAAGAGTGATGCGACTCGAGAAGAATTAAATCCAGATTAATTGATATTTTTAATTAATATTTGATCTTTTTATGATGATTTCTTTAAATACTTTACAGTAACAATCGATTCACGCCACTTCAACGTTTAATCGATACTTTTTTACACAGTTTTTTGAAATTTGTGTGTGAACGTTTGTGACAATCAAGTGTGTCAACACGTTTCCACGAATTAACAAAAGAGAATTATAATCTGTACAAAAATGAGCTGCGTAGCGAATTAAGTTTGACAAGATGATGCCGTGTTGTAAAAATGCGAGTCATGTCTTTCAATCAAATCGATCAAAGGCTATAACCGTTTTCATGACGAAAAAAAGACATTTTTTTAAATTCTTAAAAATTTTGTGCATCAATATACAGATTTATTAAAAAAATTTTTTTTTGTAAGTCAGATTTAACGTTTTAGAAAATTATTTTCTACTACGTGAAATTTAACTCTAGTTCGATTATTTTTATTTGCTTTTACAAAATAATTTTAATTCGATGCGATAGAATTTAGAATGTAAGCATAATAAAACGTGCATAATTATCAAGGAAAATGGGATACTACATAAGATGTTATCTAATAATAATAATAATAAGCATCGAACTTTAATGTACTCAAAAATTTTTAGACATCCAGGATAAAACAGTTCGACTTGAAAAGAAAAAAATAAATTATTTGAATATTTTTAATGGAAAATAAAATGTTAGCCTTTTGACAGCTCGATCTACTTTTCTTAAAAGTTGTACATAAACGAGTGCATTTATAAAATGAAATCGAATTTGAAAAAGTAATGAGTAACTATTTCATCATTTTGAAATTCAAGAAAGTTAAACATAATTAAAACATAAAAGAGCAGAGAACTTCTTTCTCATTTTTCAAAAATGAACATTAGTTTTATTTTTTTAAATGTAATGCGTGTCAAAAGCAAAGAACAAAATATTTCTGCGACGTCTCTTTTTATACTTCACGTAATTTAATTCTAACATTCCTCCAAACTATGTTTTGCATATCTTCGGAATGAAACAAACGGAACAATAAGAACATTGATTATCCGATTTCTCATTCTGATTGTTAAAATTAATAGAACGTGACAAGTTGCTGCGTTTATTATTGCATATCAAATTAGGAGATCGTAACGCCGACATTTTTTTCATGTGGCTGATTATCGTCGTCTTTACTAATTGTTATTATTACTAAGTTTCAACCATGATTCATTTGTTGCTGTTGCACCATGATTATTCGTTGCACGAATAATTTCTTATGATTAGCATTATATTTGGCGGTGTAATTATTACTATCGTCATATAAATTGAGATATATATGTTTTTCTATTATAATTTTATTATTTTAATACATTATATTATTACAATTCTAATTATATTATAGTATTTTGAATTAATAGGTAATTGACGGTATGATGTGCATATGATATGAATATAAAAAAAAGATAATCAATATTTAGAAATAAATATTTCCAAAAAAAGAATATATATTATATATATATATAACATATTTTTTCATTTTTTACTAATTATAATACCATAAATTTTAAGATGAGAGTTCTGTGTTTATAATTAAATCAATTTAAATAAAGCTCTTTTGGAACTCTTGGATTACATCTTTGCGAAACTTATATTCTTTTAATATCTTATTAATTTTTGAAACTTGAAATTAATATTAAGCTTTTCATTTAGTGACGACAAATCGACGCAAATAACACGAACATTATTCTATTTTTCTTGGCATTCAGAATTTATTGTTCAATATTGTTCAACGGCTTCCTAAAAGTACTGGAGACAATACGGCTCATGGCATTCAGAGAGTAATAAAAAGATATAGGGATGAGTGCTTTTTCCAGCAAGAAACATATATACAGTGTGTCATGGTGTATCATTACATTCTTGTTGTTCGCCAGTGTTAAACGAGGATGAGATGATCACTGTGTTGTACTGAGTTGCTTGTTGGAAGATACCCTAATATCAATTGCGCACAAGTCAATCACAGCGCGCTAGAAAAAAAAAAACTTGCTACGTCACTGTGATTGGCAGTGAGCAATGGACAGTGGGCACACAAAAAACTTAAAGCAGTAAGAGTAGCTAAAGGTACAGTTGAAGTGATATAATTTTAAGGGAATTAAAATAATAATGCATATACTTTTCAATTTTAAAATTCTTATAATAAAACTTTAATAAAACTTATTATTTGATACTTGTCTTGTGAATATAAGTGAATATATATATTCTTCCGTATTTCTCTTTATCACCTATTTATTAAATAAAACGAAACTTTAAGAATTTTACCTTCCAAGCTTATTACATATGCAGATATCTCGGTTTCCTGAGGACATATATATTTTGGCAAACTGTAAGTGACTTATTCTTGATGAACCGACGAAATTTACATAAATATATTTAAGCTTCTGTTGTTCGTTTATGTTGACTCAAAAAGAGTCGAAACGTTCGAAAAAATGTCATTGATGTACAGTTTACTGAATAAATGGTAAAATTGTTAATATTTTGCGCATTGTAAACCGCACTCTCATATTAGCCCGTTTCTTTAATTGTTAATTATTGCTTTAAGAATTTTCATGATTTTAAATTTAACAAGATAAACATTTGTTGCCTACACGCGACAAGATTTTTCAAACTTTATAATCAACTCTCATAACTTTTTGGAATATATGGATTTAAAAAATTCTTTAAGTATTATAAGAGAAGCGGCTAAAAAAATTATAATATAGAAACCTAGACTATTGAAATCAATTGTTAGTACCAGAGAGAAACCTGAGAGAGGACATAATGGCCCAAAACCCAAAATCTAAGGGTCAATTCTGTATCTTCAAACAAGGTGAAAATTACAAAAGTGAGCAAATTTACTAGGTGTTGACCAATGAAATTATCAGTATTCTAGTAAATTCGTTGTTCACTTTTGTAATTTTCACCTCGTTTTAAGATGCAGAATTGATTTCCTGTAACTAAATGCTGCCACGCACAAACCACGCTATTTCTGAAGAAATGGATGTTAACTACACAACAACCTTTTCGTGATGTTTCTGATGGAAAATAGATAGTTGAAATCGCCAAAATTTATCAAATCAATAGAGATTTCAGCAATTTATTTCTCCTCAAGAATATATCTCGCAAAAAGGTGGATATTGTTGTGTAGTTAACATTTACTTCTTCAGAATGCGGTATCATTTGCGGTTACAGGTTTTGGATCATCATGTTTTTCTCTGCTAGTAGTCTTCCGTCTCCCTTTGCCTATCACAGCATGTGCTAAAGATAGGTTTAAGGGCTGCCGCACATAAAATAACAGTATGCGTAAATTTAAGTCGATGAGCCAATCAGGATACTACTTTAGATAGAAATAACAGTAAATCCATAAGACGAGTTTCAACCGGTTGAAATTCACCTTATTGTGAGGTTTACTATTATTTCCATTTCCGTTAGATTACGTAGACCTAAAGCAATATCCTGATTGGCTCATTATAAACGTTATAAACTAAAAAGAGGAACTTGAGTTAATACTGAAAAAAGTCACTCGCTAATTGTAACTAATTCATTACAAGTAACGAGTATAGTTTACTTCCCAACCGTACGTGATAGATAGGTATACATACATTTTCATGTCTTACAATATTTCGCTTATTATATCTTAATAATATATCATATATTTAACGCGTGTTAAATTAAATTGCTCTCGTATGTTAATTTTTTTTAATTTTTTATAAGACGTATGAGTTAGCTATTTTTAATGCGTCAGAATAATTCTGATGCAACATACTATGATACACAACAAAGTCAATAATGCGAAAGCACTCAGGCATATCCGTCATCTAAAGAAAGAAAAATGCATGAACCGTACACTGTACAGTCATTTGAAATATAAAGATTCTCAAAATCGGGGACCGCGCATGCAGTATATCGTATTGCTAATTCAAACAATCAACAATCCGTATCTTATCTTATCTTTCCCAAAAGCGCTCCTACTCTTATTATCAAAGTATTCGATTTTTGCTGGTCTTACAAATAAAAACAATAATTCGTTTCTTTTAAATCGAATCCCGCGAGAGAGTGCGCAGAAAGAGATCCGTGAGTTGAGAACCCCGGAGCGCAGAGTGACGCACGAAGTTAGCCGCATCGAGCGGTGAACAGACCGGCGATGATTGGCAAGAAGATCCTCGCGCTCGGCCAATCGTGGCGCGACACGTGCTTGGATGGAGATGGTGACAACCGAGAGTCAGTTGCGTCAGTTTATTCGTGTCGGTCGCATCGCGTGGTGATGAAACTTGAAGTGTTTTGCTCAGACTGAAATCAGTCGAGATCCAGACTGATATCAGTCGAGATCCAGACTGGATCCGTCATCGAGGGAACGACGCGATTGAAAACACGGAGAATTGTCGTTGCAGCGCGAGAGGGCAGAAGTTAAAGAATATATACTGAGAAAGTAGGACGCGCCGCGTCACGTCGTATGGCGGATTATGAGCTCCGTGAAGAGTGTCATCATCACCCTGCCTAAGAGAGTGTCCAAGGCGATCCCGAGGACCGAATCATCGCGCAACTCGCTACCTAAGCTGAACTTTATGTCAGTCCTGGTGGACAAGGCAAGGATGGACAGCAGGAAGGTCGTCTCTGATCAGCAAAAGGAGACGCGTGATGACGACGTCGCGACGCTCCTCGAACCCGTGGACACCCGCGTACGTGGAAAGAAACGCCGGCTGGATCATCTAACGTGGGAGGAGAAGTTGCAACGAAAGTAAGCGAGAGAAATCCAGTTATCAGAATTATTTTTGTCAACTTTAAAGGTTCAAAGCTTTGAAAGAATTCGAAAATTCGGGATTACTATATACACTTTTTTCTACAATTTCTATGTAATTCTATGTATCTCTAGGAATGCCGTCCACTTGGCGCTCAATCGCGAGTATTGTTTGTTTTTGTTTGGTATTTAAACAATAAGAGAAACAAGGATGGAATGATTCTAAAAGAGTTGCGAGTGCCAAGTGGAAGTGTTGACAGCCTATAATTCTGCTAACATTTGTTCATATTTATTTAAATATGATTATTGATGTTACACTTAGAATTATCATTAGGGGAGTTCAAGGCGGCAAAGGAGTTAGGCATGTTTACTGAGCGATTGTATATGATTAGTTGGATCTATAAGTAACAATTATGTTCATTTGCTCGGCGAACGGGCCCTTTGTCCACTTGAATGCGCCCATTCTTATCATTCTTTGCTTTTTGTCTCTTCAACGTCTTAAGCCTATTCTACAATGTGCTCTTTGTTTCTTACCTTTTGCTTTTTTCCCCTTTGCAACACTTCTTTCTCTTTTACTTTTGTTTTATCGACAATTATATTTCTTGCTATATATTTCTTGTTTCTTTCGATGAGTCCGTTAACTTTTACCTCAGGCGATATAAAACAAAAAATCGGATAAGAAGCAAAAAAATAAGATGTAAAAAATGGCAAAAAGCAGAAAAAACAAAAAGCACATTGTAGAATAGGCTTTATGTATTTATCTCGTGTTAAGTGCAAACATTTTTGAAGATTTCAAGTAACGCGAACGGACCTATTGTTAAAATAGAACGCATTCCACAAGCACAATCCATTAAATTAATTTCTAATTAATTGAATCGTCGAATCTAGAAAATATTCTGATTTCAAAAGTTTATCCTATATAGAATTACATCAGTCAGGGACTTGTATCAGCATTACTCGTGGCAATGATTGACACTTAGCTTATCCACAGATTGTTTTTTGCTTTGATAAAAACCTTGGTAATCGTGTAATATTTAGTGTTCAGTAGGCGTGCCTTTTTTATCTAACTTGTAAATATCTTATCAGCTTATCAACGAGCAGAAATGTCCAAACAGTATTTCAGTGAATTTTTCAAAATTAAGAACACAGATCTTTGCATAACGCATAAAGTATAATGGGTTTTTAACAATAAAGCCTTTATCTAAATTTTAAATCTTAAACCACAAAAAATTAATCTAACATAATTGGATGTGAGAAGAATAATCGACTACGATTATTCTTAGTCAATTTCTTAGGGCTTAAGACTTAAAGCTCTAAGCTTAAATGGCTTATTGTTAAAAGCTCATAAGAGAATTAATCGATCTTTTCTTCCTAAAAATGAAATGAAGGACTGACTGGCTGATTCTCTTATACTTTATACAATATACATTATAAAGGTGCTCTGGCTTTTAAAATTATGAATCCTTACATGAGATTCAAGGATATACAAAGTGCTTATTTCGGAATAATTTTGTTGCGAAATATTTTCCGCGTAATAAACGACGATCTGCTTGTTATGCGTCACTTTAATGATTCGTTTCTATTGACGTAAATGCGATTACGCGATATCGCTATATGCGAGCATCCGAGTCTGGAAATAATGAATTGGCGGAATAATCCACTAATATGTATATAGCAGTTGTTTCAATATTTCTCTAACCATTAATTAGAAATAAATTATCTGCAAAAAAAAAATTATGAAACGAGAAACAATGTTGAATCATACATTGGAAAACGAAATATATTTTAATGCAAAGAATATTTTTTTCCATACTAATATAATATGTAGTTTTATCCAAATTTTATTAAAATAAAAAACACAAATTTTTAATTCTTAAAATTTTTTAAGTTAAAAAGTTTTAATTTTTTCATTTTTTATAAATTTGTAAAAATAATTAATTTTATTCTTTATTTCTTTGCCGTGAGAGAGAATTTATGATCATCTTGGCTATTTGTTTGTTTATTCATTGCTCCATTTAACGTCGACGTTTTCTTTGTTCGGTAGAAAACTGAAGAATCGAGTGGCCGCTCAAACCTCGCGAGATCGCAAAAAAGCCAGATTGGACGAGCTTGAGGAAACAGTGAGGACACAGAAGGAAAGGAGTGAGTTACTTACACAGGAATGTGCGATGCTGAGGTCGCAGAACGAACTGCTGACGTCGCAAAAGGAATGGCTGTTGAACGAAAATAAGAGGCTAAGAAACGAAAGAGACGCAGTGAGGAACACGCTCACAGATCAGCAACAACCGATCTGCTCCGCCTGTCGGACCCGTGTCGACAGTGCTGTACCTTCGCTGGGATCTGCAGTATCCCCCAATGACCCTCTGCCGCAGGGTGGGACAGCACAGTCGGCATTGCGCCTGACACGGACGCCAGAAGCAACCGCACTGCTGAAATTTCTGACTCTATACTTCCTTTGGAAGAATTGTTTAACGTATTCCAAAGCGCCGACGTCGAACGATTCGAAGAGCTGGCGGAGAGCCTCTTACGAGAAGTCAGTCCAGAGGTTGAAGCAAATCCTCCTAGATCAAATGAACAAGTGAGTCTTGGGAGTTGCAATCGACATATATACAATTGCACCTTTTGCATTGCATTTTCTCACATTTTGTTGTATTTTTCACTCAGAACAAATCGCGAAAAAAATAGCTATTGTCACTCCACTTCTAATTACATGAGCTAGTATAATTTTTTTTCTTTAAAAAAATGTAGTGCAAACATTAAGTTGTTTTTTTTAACACTATAATTAAGTCTTGTTATTTTTTTTCTTGATTTACATTTCTTTTTTTTTTAAATCGCACGCTTAGTAACTTATATATAAGATGCAGAGATGGATGAAATATTCCGAAGTAGAATGAAATTCTAATCTCAACAGTGGGAATGCAAGTTTTAATCTCCGGAGAAAATCCGAACGTTTCATTCATTTCTTGTACCATCGCGCGTCCTCACGATTTAGTCGTTCTCTCTTAATGACCTGTCGATCGCTCTTCATTCCACAGGTGTCCGTCAACGAAACTCCCGTTGAAAAACCTGACCATCCAGAGGCATTGGTGGGGCAGACATCAAAAAATGTGGAAGCCAGTAGAACTGGTGGAAGCATAGACAGCGTATCCTCTTATCTACGAGATACGTCTAATTGGTTTCTCGAGGACTGCGACACAACGAAGATCACGTCTATCAAGACCGAGACTGAAATTAAACAGGAGTCTGAGACGGCATCGGATCTCGATACTGTCTATGGTACATACGACGAGACCACCAATTCCATCACGATTATGTATCCAGGTGAGGAGAACGACGGCTGCGTGGGTATCCAAGAATGCGTGCAAGAGGTGGTCAGTAGTAACGAGAGCGGTGCCGTCAGCCATGCCGCAGACGACGCTGTAAATCTCACTGTTCCTTCATTGGGCATTCAATTGCGCTATTCGACGCAATTCTCACCAGCATACATCAATTCCATGTCACCTGCTATGAGCGACGTGGATAGTTACGGTATTTCTCCGACGAAGCAGCTGGATTGCGCCAGTTTATCGGACGGTGGATACGAATCTCACGATTCCCCGCAGTCACACATGTCGGAATTATTCGATCTCGAAAGTTTCAGCGAGCTGTTTCCCGCGTTGCTGGCAATTCCGGATAAGGCGTGCTGCCGAGGCGAGCGCCAGATCGATGTCGAATCGTTACATATGTGACGGGAAATTTCAGCGAAAACAGGCTACAAAAGAAAAATGAAAGAGAGATTCGGAAAATATCGTTATAAATCCGAAAATCGTTCATTTAACATTAGATAGAAACTTGCAAACTTCGACTAGATTCTCGCACATTTTTTTATCAATATCAAGCAGTTTAATTTCAACGTTTTGAACGAAAAATATAACTCTTAGAGACTTGCGAAATGCAAGTTATGTAAATATGTAATAAACATGATTATAAAAAGACATAATATAGCTAATTAAAGAGGCTCTTTCTATATAAGTTATTTTAATTAGCAGAGAGCTTCTATGGAGAAATATAATTTGTTTCTTCTATATTCTTTCTTTTTGTTACAAATTTTGTTACAAATTTTAACTTTGAATAGTAGCTTTATCCAGCACAATTAGTAACACGACATATTGTCACATATTGCCTAACTATTAATTGACATATTAATAGTACCAAATTTGTTTTACAATAAAATTAAAACTAGTGATATATTAACTATAAGAATATATTTTTGTATATATTTAGATCATAAATTTTTTTTAATTTATTCGATATTGTAAGAAGATATATCTAAATAGTTTTCTATAGACACGAACGGTGAATTATTTTTACACACACACCTACACGTGCCTATTTAAGAAATTTATTATTAATGTATACATGTTTAAACATATATATATAGTAATTTTTTGCTTTTCGCTGTGTAACAAATAAATCTCAAACTAATGACATAGTTTTTATTTTCCAACTCCGCGCTAAATTACTGTATCTGATGACGCGAATTCATTCTATTTATTTTTCGTAATTTTTTCAACTGTTTTATATGACAATATACAATTCGATATAGAGTAGGCATATGCATGTAGCGCTATTTGCGCGGTAATTTTAATTGATTATTATATTAATGCTATTTAAATACTTTATAAATATACGAAATATTTTTAACGTGTACAGGAAGAGCTTTCATCAGGGAGATATTTGGTGGCAAAGATACGGTTGTACAAATATTACTAGATATTATCAACAAATTATTAATAACGATAAACTATTATATATAGCACCCTTTTCGTTAATTCTTAAACGGCATGACAAACTTGGAACTAAACAGTTTGAGAAACGCGTGTGATTTACCACACTAGATGAAATTTAAAAAAAAAACTGCATAAAAATCAGACTATTCTGTCACATCAATTTTTGAAAAATTTTTCTTTAGTGGAAATTTAATAGAGAGATCTGTCAACTTTTTTAACATTAAATATTTTGACAGTTTATATTTGTAAACTTTTTATTGAAATTTTCTCGGTGTTAATCGAGATTGGAATTGTACTCATTCATGTATGACTTTATCTCTTATAATCTCATTTAATTTCTCTAAAAAAAAAATTGTATAAAATTTATCTCAATTTCATGAATATGGCGATCAAGATGAGATAACAGATCATTTAATCTCTTAATCCAAATTCTATTCATGTCCTTTGCATACACCATTCGTTAGTCAATATTTATTTAAAAAAATGGAAATTTTTTTTTTCTATAAGGCTACTTTAGGCAATGTGAGTTCTCGCATTTCTATATAGACAATCAAAGCAAGTAAATATTTATACTGTATACGTATTTCGTCAAGAGTAATAAAACGTTGCCGAGAGAAACAGCCTCTCGTTTCCTTACGTTACAAAAAAAAATTTCGAAAAAGATTATTTATCCGAAGAGTTTCTCAAAGCAGCCATGGCAGTAAGGTTTGTCGTTTTGCTCCTTGAATGTGCCCTTGTTTAATTGTTTCAAACAAAATGCACATACAAAGTGCTCAGGATGGAATTTGCGGAACATCGCCGTTATGCAACGACCTGCAAAAAAGCAAAATACAAAAAATGATATTAGTATCACAGTATTCAAAATCTTATTTTAAAAAATTTAGCGTACTCACCGGTGATGGGCTTATGGCATCCTGCACATAAGGATCCTCTCTTGGCATGATAATGTGTCTCGCAATATGGCAATCCTTCATGATCGAAGAAGGATCCGCCCTGAAACTTCTGTCTGCAATCCTGCAAAATAAAAAATAGGCGCGTTTGAGAATATTGCATAAAAAAAGTTTAATATACGAGAAAAATGTCACGCTACAAAATTCTGTAAAAAATATATATCATTATTTCAGTTAAAAGATGAATACTATCTTGTTCCATGAAAAAAAACAATGGAAAAATATGCAAAACTTTATGTGAATATATTGAATGTTTTAATGAAATGTATCATTAATATCATGACATGAGAACCTCAATAATGATAGTTTCTAAGAAAAAAATATTTGCGAATATTTAAAAATTATAAGAAATGGATAGTAACTTGGAAATATTCTGTATATGTTATATTCCACTACTATTCCTCATTTTGAATAAAAACGAGATTAAAGAAAAATTGATTAAAAATCAACATGCGATTTATATTTTATATTTATCAGTAAATTGATAACAAAATGTGTGTGTGTATATATATATATATATACACATTTTTTCAATTCTAGTATATATATATATATATACACTAGAATTGAATTTTTAATTAATATGTATTTTCTTGATTCGCTTCAATTTCTTCGCAGAAACAATTTTATCTATATATATTCATACGATAATAATTTAACCATAAAAAAAATATTTTGAGCGAGGGAAATTAATCGTTCTACTTTTCTCGAGACGAATTTTTCAATTCGATTCATCTGCTGTTACTATACAATCTAAGGAATGGAAACATCCATTTGTGATAATGGCATTGCTGTTCACAGCGTTCAGCTGCTGGTTCTTCTCCGCGTCTTTTGCCAAGACGCGCATCTCCGAGTCGCTGGGTGTGTAGGTGAGCCAGTCGACTCTCGGTGTCGCGTGTGTTTTTGTTTTGGGGGTTTTCTTTTTTTTTGGAAGGAAGTAGGATGAAGGAGGGAAGGTTTATCTCTTTACTTTTCATAAATAGTACTAATAGTATCCGCGCGACTCTACAGAATTCCTCTCTATTGTCAAGAGCTCGGTACAATGTCAAGGCGCGAGCTTGGAAACAAAAGCAGCTAGCTCGTACTTGTGCTTGCCGAGAGTATGCCCTGCGATGTAAGAGTGTTGTGTCCGAGTGTGGAAAGTGTGTGTTTTTCTTTTGCGATGCGGAATTAAAGCGACGGCGACTTGTAATCGGTGTTTCTCCGCACTCGGTCTTCCTCAGCGCCAAGCTAAATCACCTGTTAGAGAATCAGGGGAATGGCTCCGCATTCATAGAGCCGGAGGGCATACAAGGGGCAACATATCATGCGGGGGTAACTGGGCAATAGTGATAAAGAAATTCGGCGTGAGGAATTGGTACGACGACGTGAGGCGGCGGGATCGAGCGGCGTCCTTACGCCTCTTGCTCTTCCTCTTCCTCGTCGTCGTCGTCTACCCCGACGCACTTGGGACACACCGGCTGTCCCTCCATCGCATAGAAGGATTTTCCGGAGACCGGCTTCTTGCAATCCTGTAATTGTCAGAATTTAATGTGCTTGATCTATGGTTTTTGTGACGGTTTCTCCGCGATTTTTCGGGATTTTTAAGATGAAAAAAAATCTTTCCTTCGTTTCCTTCATGCATGAAAAAAAAAAACGAAGATGTTGATGATCTCGTAAGGTTTGCGCTGAAAATGAAATTTGGTAATAAGGTACATAAATCTCACAAGTATGACACCTACCCTACAAACGAAGCAGTCCGGATGCCACTGACTATTAAGCGCGGATATATAATTTTCCATGATAGCGCGATTGCAACCACCGCACTTGGGTGCGAACATGTCGAAGTAATCCTCGCGGCAGTAGGGCTTGCCGTCCCGCTCGTGGAAGCCCTCCTCGCCGAACTGCTTGCCGCACTGAGCGCAAAAGAAGTGCTCGGTGTGCCAAGTCTTCTCCAGGGCGGTCACACATTTCTGGAAGAAAAACATTTCTTTCAAATCCACCAGCGCGACTTTGCGCGATGAAACATTTAGAGGCATCCAGAAAAAGAGTATAGATTAAAATTTTCAGCGATAATTAATTTTTTTTCTGTATTGTAACTAGCATTATGATCCAGAGAAAGAATTCTATGGATTAAAATTTCAAATTTCTCATGTCATTCAGGCATTCCATGAATGCCAAGGGATGAAAAGTTCAAGGGAAAATTGAAGATTTGTGCCTTTTATTGTTCGTTTTTGTTCCTCTCAATCGCACTTATGAAATCCATAACTTATACTCTTTCCTTTAAAAAGCCTCCGAGATTCCGCAATCCTTACATCGAGAATGGGCCCGTTGCAGTAAGCGCAACGAGGAGAGAACAAGTTATGATAGTCCGTTTCGCAGTAAGGATGACCTTCCCTCTCGAAGAAGTTCCGTGTACCCAACTCCTGGTTGCAATGAGTACACGTGAAGTGTTCTGGATGCCACGTTTTGCCCAAGGCTGTTATCACCTGCGCAGCAAGAACATTATTAAGTCAAGGAGAATATCCAATCGCCGGACATCGCATCAACTCTCAAGGATTATGGATGCGGTTGACTCTACCTGGCCCACGATAGGCTTCTCGCAGGCGCTGCAGCATCCTTTCTGGGTTGTGTTGACACCTTGGCGGCTCATGTCGGCCTGAAGATTGCCGAGCATAGAATCCAACTGATTCTGCTTCAGAGGTTGGCTCTCTCCTGGATGATAGAGGTGGGTCGTGTGAGTCTCGGTGATGTGAACGCGGGTCTGCGTGCCCTCGTTGGGCAAAGGGCTCTGTGAGCTCTTGGTGGCTTTGTTTGGCTTCGCGTATGGAGAGTCGGTCACCGTCTGATGCTGATGAGTACCGCTATTGATCTGCAAAGATACGCGGATCGTAGGATCGAACGCGTAGAAATCCAAGTGACAACTCTCTATCCGAGAAATTAAAGTTAAATCCGAAGTGCGGACGCTGTGATCTCGATCTTGAGATTGAGAAAATCAGGCAATAAAACAATTTAAAAAAGATGCAATTTTTAATTATTAAAAAAAATGTCCTCAACCTGGAGATCGATAATCTTAATTTCTCGAAAAGTTGAGATGAATTGCACTCGTCACACTAAATCCTCGAAAAAAAAAAAGATGTATAATTCCCTGCATAATTCTACGAGTATCGGTATCAATCGTGCGCGCATCTGTATGTGTATGTATTGTCAGGTGTCAAGTGAGAGGTGTGTCGGGATGCGAAGGTTGTTCAAGGTTGAGTATCGCTGATTTGACGGGCAAGGTGAGAGAAAAGGGTCGGGATGTCAAGGATGGCAAGTCCGCGAGATGTCGAGTGAAGAAAAATGAAGACCCACGGGCGAGATGGTAAGGTAAAGTAGGAGATGTCGATCACCACGGACGAGCTTGCAGACTGGCCGAAAGCTCCGGGTGTTCCG